AGACCAGGCTGGCCTTGAACTCACAGAGATCCACCTGCCTCTGCCTCCCGAGTGCTGGGATTAAAGGCGTGCGCCACCACCGCCCGGCCCACTGTTCATATTTTATAAAATAGGAACAATCATGAAGGCCAAGAACAGCTTTGACAGCAGACACACTTCTAAACTGACCTTGGGAACTGCCGTATATTACCTTCACACAAAGGTGTTTTCAACAGTGAAAACGCTTTGTGAACTCTAACTCCCATAGACAGTTTAAACCGCTCGCCCAAGCTGCACGGCTTTCTGTACTCATCCAGAAAGACTTACAGCCTGTGAGTTTCCCCAGACTTCAGTCCTGAGGACACACAGACAGACAATACACTGTGAAAAGCTACGCCACCACGCATCAGGTGGGCCACCTTCCCGCAGCAAGCCAGCTGCCTTCCGGGCACTGCACCCACAGACACGGGCAAAGGAGCCTTCCTGCCAACTCCACCCCGTGTGTCATAGTACGCACACTCAGTTCTTAGCAAGGAGTAAACAGTCAACAGTTATCAAAACGAATTTCTTCACTCTGGTGAGAGAGGCGGGAAACCCTGGCAAGGTCCAGGGGAAAAACTCCGTAATCCTCCTCACCCGGACCCAGTTCCCCACAGCTCCAGCTCTGCTGACTGAACGGAAAGGCGAACATCACCCACGTTCACCGTTTTCCTTCCTGGTGCTTATTCGGTCCCCCAAACCTTTGTCTTGTTAATAAAATGATTAGAAATCAATACAGCTTTTAAATCGTTCAGCACAGCTGAAAAACAGACTACTGGTCACTTCCTAGGACCATCTGCTTAAAAGTAACAAAAAATCCCCAGTACAGGGGGGGGGGAAAAGAAATATACGAACACTTAAATTTTATCTTCTGAAGCTTTTCTTTCATGTCCACTCCAAGAGCTTCCTCCTGAACCAGCTTCCAGAAGTCCTCATAGTCACTCGAGTTCTTCAGGATTCCACGTTTGGTCAGCTCATCCTGCAGCCCTATAATCTTATTTTCAAAGAGAACGGGTATATAAATAAATACACACTGCAGGATGACATTTCTAACGGCACACTGGAAGTCAGAAGACGAGTGAAAACGTAATCCCGTGTCTAAACATCAGAGTGCCTTCTGGGTAATTTTGGCTTACCTCGGCTCAGGGTTCCTGTCAAGATTGACACAAGAATTAATACTACCCATCATACTTTTGAAGTTTTCTGCCCATAAATTCTGTGCATTCATTTACATTTCAACAATTAAAGGGAACGATCAGAAGGCAGGCACCACCTTAATTGCCACACAGGAATATGCTGTTTGCCATAAGGCACATACACTTGCCAATTTAGCAGAAAGGAGGCTTCGAGACTCTCCCTCTTTCAAATATAATTGTGCTTGTAGATACAGGGGTCCATCTCTATGGCCAGTTTTGACATATGCCTCCAACACTTGCAGTGAAGAGAAGCCCCCCAGGGTCCCAGAGACTCAAAACTTAAGGGTGACGTTTTCCATTTCCAGTTTGGGAAAAGGCAAAACTACTCATGTACATAGTTCTAAGTGGCTTTTATAGGTGATTCCGGCATCAAGTAACTAAGCCCATAGTTGTCTCAGAGAAAGGCCATTCCAAAGTCACTTTCCGTGCAGGGATTAAGATTAACACCTGGACTCTTAGGCAGCCTTAGGTAAGTGACTCTCTTCTGGGAGCTGGCAGACACAGAGCCTAGCCTGAGTTCATAACACGCTGGCCCTCCTGAGCAACAATGTGGCCTGGGAGTTAACAAATCCAAAAGTAAAGTAAAACCGGCCCTTCACTGCCCTCTAGCTAGGGGTTTGTTTTGGATGTTCAAAATGTAGCTTGTTCCACCCACAGCACCACCACCGGGGATTCAGAAATGGGAGGCATTAGGTTAAGCTGGTTTTCTGTGGGGACTGGACAATCTCCGATTCCAGCAGTGGCTCTCTAAAGGAAGAACTCGTACCCCCTCTGCAGGAAGTATTTAAAGGACCCAGGACCAGGGGGAATCCCTGCCAATTCAAGCCTTAGAGCCAGGTCCAGAGGCCCAGGGATGTGCCGGGCTTGGGTCTCCTCTCGGCTTAGTTCCTGGGCAGATGACTGGCAGTTGTCGCTGATGGACGGCCTTGTGGCAAAGGCCGGCCTGGAGCGAGCGGCAGGGGACCAGATCCTCCTTTCCTGGACCTTTGGGATGCACAGTGTGCTGCTTATGCTCAGAGACCTGCATGCGGGGGTCCTGTCTTACCAGGTAGGTGTTGGACCTTGAAGGGTACCGAGCTGAGGCCTTGGGCGGGAACGCTGGCGGGGCTCCGGGCTGTGGCTGCAAACAAGCAAAGCAAAGCAGCGGTGAGCAGGGCGAGCAGGGCCCAGCAACAAAGCCTCAGGCACAGGAGAAGTAAACAAGCAGCCACAGGAAGCCATTAAGCAGAGTGGGCGCTAATGAGCGCACCGCGGGGCCCTGCGCACCCGCCTAGCCAAAACCACCGGGGACTGCCTCGCCTGACAATTTGGAGCCCAGAGCCCTGCTGGCAGGCCATAAACCTGTTTGTAGTCTCCATCGGTTCCCCCTTCAAGTTTGTGTCGTCAGGGATGAGGCGGAGGGCCCTCGGATGCTGTGATCTCTTCTCAGGGACCTGCACTTGCAGGGGGCAGATGGGCTTCCAACTCCAAGGTAAAGGGCTGCCTGCCTCCCACCCCCAACCTTGGCTGGCCACGGTGGGAGACCAGGGGTGTTAAGCCCACCTTCCAGAGTCTTTCGAAACGGTTTTTCCGTTTTAAAGGAAGTCATTTGACTTCCCAAATGTGCCTCTGAAAATCCGCAAGTTGTAAAAACCATGCTTCCAAGTTGCTCAAAGGACCAGTGGCTAGTCTAAAATATTTCATATCATTTATTACTGGGCGCTGGGCTGAGCGTTCTTCCATGGCGGGGTGGGTCCCAGCCTCCTACAGAGGCTGGGGTGAGGGGCGGGCGGGGGCGGGGCACTACCTGCGCACATTCCCAGCATCCTCGGGGATGCTGGTCGGCGTACCTTCTTGTCCTCGCAGCAGCGACACCCGGCGGCCACCCTCCCACCTGCTATTCCCGGTCCTGGGTACCCAGAGCCTCCCAGGTCTGTCTCCAAGTCGTTCCCCAGACCACACACAAAGAGGGGCTTAGGAATTCCGCATTCGCAGCGTAGATGATTCAGGAAGTATGTGGGAAAGCCCGCTGAGGATAAGTTTCAGGCCGGCCTTAGATGTTTGGGCAGATGTTTATGATCTCTTTTATGGGAAGAAGAGGAGGCATCATATAAGTAGATCGTCATAAATACTTTAGTCAGATTTAAAGACGACAAATCACCTTAAACAACCCCGGTGGGAACTGTGGTAATGAGTGTCTCTTCCTGTTAATCAAGTCTGCTGTCCCCTGGGGTCCCCGGGTGAGTGTGGGCACACATGCCTCCACTTTCACACTGCTGTCAGTGAAAATAAGTTCAAATATATTTTCATTTGTATATTTCATGTGCCATGCACTGAACATAAGAACAGCATATTGGGCTGGAGAGGTGGCTCAGAGGTTAAGAGCACTGACTGCTCTTCCAGAGGTCCAGAGTTCAATTCCCAGGACCCCACGTAGCAGCTCACAATTGCCTATAATTCCAAGATCTGATACCCTCATGCAGACATGAATGCAGGTGAAGCATCAATGTACATAAAGTAAAAATAAATATATTTTAAAAAGAATAATTATTTTTTTAAAAAAAAAAAAAAAAGAACAGCATATTAACCACTTTGTAATCGAATTCCTGACACATTGACTTTAATTGAACTAGAACCCAAAACAGGAACTCCACACACACACACACACACACACACACACACACACACACTTGGTCCTGAATCTACAACTTTATGTTTTCATTGTATATCAAAATCTTTATAATATTCTTTGGGGACGCCTAAAATCATGTTCCCCAACAGGCAAAAAGTTAACATGCCTTCCATCATTTAAATGAGTATATTAAAATTGTACTTTGGGCTGGGCAGTGGTGGAGCATGTCTTGATAGGATGGAGTGGGCAAACTAGGGCCATGACAGGCTCCCCTAGCAGCCCTGACAGGGACCAGGCCTCAGTTTTGGTTCAGTAGAACGGGCTGGAGCTGAGCAAGCAGTTCTCAGAGGGGCACCCAATCAACAGGGCTGCGCCCCCAGCCTCCTGCTGGCTCAGCAGATGCCCCCGGACTTCTGCCAGCTAAAGATAGCTTTTCCTCCCCTCTTGTCCAATAAGGCCCTAGATCCCCCCCACCAATAGGCCCCTAGCCAGTAGTCTCCCACCAATCAGCCCCCAGACCAATCTGACTTCCACCCATCAGTCTTTAATCCCATCACTCAGGAGGCATAGGCAGGTGGATCTCTGTGAGTTCAAGGGCAGCCGGGTCTACAGGATTGAGTTTCAGGACAGCCAGGGCTGTTACACAGAGAAACTCTGTCTTAAACAAAATGAAAATGTACTTTGAGAGGGCCTGCAAGATGGCTTAGTGAGTAAAGCCTTGCTGTTGTCAAGCCTGATTGAGTTAATCCCTGGGATCCACATGGTGGAAAGAGACAACCCACTCCCCTAAGTTGTCCTCTGACCTCCACCTTTGTATCATGACGCGCGTGTGTAAACACACACACACACACACACACACACACACACACACACGTTAATAAACAAACAAACAACATTTACAATGTCGATAAGCCTTGTTCTGTTGTTCCCACTGGTGGTTAGGACATGGCTCATGAGCAGCAAAGCCCAGAGACCGCACTGACTCCACACCGCCACTTCCTTTCCGGCTGCTTTTGATGGCAGGCTTGTTATGTACCAGGCTTCCACAGCTTTGGGTGTCCTGTTGGTTCAGGGCCCCCTTCGCTGTTTTCCCAGGAGTCTAGAGCTGTCTCGGAGAACGCTGTGGGGTGCAGAGGCCCCAGGCCACCTTGGTGAACTCCAGCCACCCTCTGTGCTTCCCTGTGGTAATAACAGTCTCGAGCCCACCCAACACCAACAAGCCCGGGCTTCTCTCCCCTCTCACGGCCCATGTCTTCCACCAGTCTCCCTTTTTTTCTCTCCTGAGGCTTTCACTTTGGTTGAACGATGGAAAATAAAGAAACACAGAGAAGTGGAAGCAAACTGAGCTGTCTGGCACACCAACCCACGATTGTTAGATGTCCTTGCTTAACAAGTCTCTGACTGGCACCCTCAAGACAGAAGTCTAGAGAGAAACAACAATCCCATGTACTACTGGGAAAACAACCCATGTGAAAACTGCAGCAGACCCGTGGGCTTTGTACAGTTAGCGCTTGGGGCTGAAGAGATGGTTCAGCACTGAAGAGCATTGTCTGCGGGCTGGAGAGATGGCTCAGAGGTTAAGAGCACTGACTGCTCTTCCAGAGGACCTGAGTTCAATTCCCAGCAACCACATGGTGGCTCACAACCATCTGCAATGAGATCTGGTGCCCTCTTCTGGCCTGCAGGCATACATGCTGTATACATAATAAATAAATAAATAAATAAATACATACATACATACATACATACATACATACATACACACATATGCACATGGTATATATATATATATGTGCCACATATGTATATATACACACATATATATGTATGTATATATATACATGTATATATATATACATATACATACAGTCAGGCAAAACACTCCTACACATATGAAAATAAAAATACATCTTTATTAGACTTAGTCTCCTGTCTAAGATAAAAGCCCCCAGGCTGGGATTGAACTCAGCAGAGTGTGTGAGCCCAGGCAGAGGGTCCTATGGTCTTACTCTTAGCAGCATTCTCCCCCAAAATTAAAACCAAATTTAAAATCACAGGGTGAAAAACAAAAATAAAAACTCCTTCTCGCACACCCTTATACAGCGCTAGGCTCCACTTCCAACTCTCTTCCTTGAGCCCGGCACTGGGGCCTTCAAACCCTGTTCATCTGTCGACTCCTTATCAGACTTTCCGTCTAATTGTGTCTGAATGAAGTCTGACCCCCCAAGAGTCAAGTTTAAGGACGTCTGTGAAGGCAGTGCCCACCATCACTCCAGAGTAGCCGGGAAGAGGCAGGGAAACCCGACCTTCCAGTCTCATTGCTAAAGTGTGGGGCGAGCGAGGGAGCCCCAGACACCGCACTCCACGGTCCACATCTCCCCGTGTGCGCCGGCACACCCCCTCCTTACATGATGCATCTCAATGAGAAAGTGAAATGGGTGAAAGTTCAAGGAACCCTAAATTTTAGGGTACTAAAGTTCAGATCTGGGCTCTGAGTTCTCATTGACTTGGACCTCAAACTCTACCAAAGACGTCACAAACAAACACACACGGTTAATGTTGGGTCCCGACAGAAAAATGAAGCAGGAGAAGGAAGAGCCCCAGGCCAGCCAGGGCTGCACAGCCAGACTCTGTCTCAAAGACAAACAAACAAACAAATACCAGCAGGGCCCAATTAGACCAGTGAGGGACTGAGCAGCCCCTGCCCAGATTGGGGTAAACACACACACACACACACACACACACACACACACACACACACACACACACACACGGTGAAAGAGACTTCCACTCACGGCTAATTTGCAAAACAACAGATGGATGTAGTGGATGAGAACTGTTAAGTATTATTCCATTCAGAGTATCTGGATTGGATCTCACCTACTCAGCCCATGGCAGACTCCCAGAAAAAAAAAAATGGGGAGGGGGAAATAAATATGTTTAAAGTCTGTTGGATTTCAAAAGTGTATTCTTTTTTTTTAAAACTATTTTCACTATTTTCGTCAGGAGAAAAAAAAATGAAATCACTCAACAAGTTGTTATAACTTGAAGTCTTCAATAAATCTGTCTCAGAAACAAATTGTCACCCACACATCATTGTGTCGCCTTGGAAGCGTTAACCATTTATCTGTCAACTGTGTCTGCTAAGCAAAATTCAGCTCTTAAACCGTGTGCATCGTGAGCCCCTCTTTCCTGTACTCTGTGGGTAGCGTCTTAAAACACACTCATAGATGAAACTTCCAGTAGGAAACCTACTCTTGAATATCCACAAGCATTTTGTTAAAGATCTTTTACGTTTATTTACGGGAACGTAATAGGAAGCACACTACATTTTAGTAATTATTTCACACACACCCATAACACAGCCCAAACCCATAAGCATTATTCAGGTATGACTATAGCTCCCAGCCAAACACCAGCCCTTTGTAGCTTCTAAATTTCCCGGGGAATATATATTAAAGAGTCTCCCCTACAGCTGTAGAGAGGGACTCAGGAAGGGCTGAGTGAGA